GAACGGCGCGACACACGAATTTGGCTACTCTGGCATCTGGCGACAGGTGACTAGTCTGGCTGAGAACGCATCGCCATCTGTTCGCGCAGATGCCGGTGACTCTTTCAAGTCGAGCATCTCGCATACCTGGGTCAACGACAAGCGCGACTACCCTCTCCTGCCTAGCAGCGGCTACTTCCTGAAGACCGTATCCGAACTCGCAGGTTGGGGACCGCTGAAGGGCGACACCGCATACTGGAAGTCAGAGGCAGAGTCGCAAGTCGCTCTCCCCTTCGGCAACACGGGCATCACGCTTACTGCTGGACTACGAGGTGGACTTCTCTACCCCATGGCTTTGGGCGGGGGGAGCCAGCCCCAGGCCTCGCGCATCAACGACCGCTTCCAGCTCGGCGGCCCCAACAACGTTCGTGGCTTCCGCATCGCTGGTCTTGGTCCGCGTGACGGCGCTGATGCACTAGGTGGCGACATCTACGCTGCTGGTGGCGCATCGCTCCTCCTCCCTATCCCGCGCGTCGGCAAAGAGACGCCTCTCCGTCTCCAAGCTTTCATCAACGGTGGCCGCCTCCTCGCACTCAAGAACCCCAACTCCAAGAAAGAAGACGGATCATTCGGCAGCTCAAGCGACGTAACCGGCGCGATTCAAAAGTCCCTCTCCAGTCTCACCGCTGAACTTCCCAGTGCGGCAGCTGGTCTAGGTCTCGTCTACGCACACCCTGTTGCGAGGTTCGAGATCAATTTCTCTCTTCCACTCGTCATGAGGGCCAAGGAGGAAGGCAGGAAAGGACTGAGCTTCGGCGTCGGCATCGAGTTCTTGTAGACACAGATCCAGGTGTGTAAATGTGTATTTGTAGGCCGTATAGACTTTCTTCTCGAGCAAGCAGATCACTTCTTTCTCATTCATTCTCATGTTCACATGTCTCTTGCATTCAGTTCAAAAGTCGTCCTCTACAACTAAAAGATCTAGCTACCCACCAACTGCGGCCCCTCGAACACCTTCTGCGGATCATACACACCCTTAATCCCTACCAACCTCTCATAATGCTCCCCCCAATACCTGCTATGCGCATCCGCCTTGGTAAGATTCGTATCCGCATAGTTGATATACATGCCAAACTGCTCGCCCTCGCTCGCCTTCTCAATTGCATCGACCCAGCCATTCAAAAACTCCATCATCTTAGGCGTATACGTCGCGCTGTCAGGGAAAATGCGGTCGTTGAACTGCATCTTGAAGACGGCATTGCGGTGCGAGTACGACGTCTCGTCTGCGGGCACTTTGGAGATGGCGGAGCCGGAGCCGCCGTGCATGTCGATAAGGAGGTACCAGGATCGGCCCCGGATGTTGCGCGCGGTGGTGAAGTAGTAGTCTGCGAGGGCGGTCATGGCAGCAGGGGATAGGTACTCTGGCATGAGGGACTTGGCGTAGAAGTTCTCGTGGTAATCGTATATTTCGGGTTGAGGCAACGGGCCGTTGGAAAAGGACGTCAAAGTGTCGATCCATTTCTTCGTTGAAACGGTACCTGCGCCGCGTCCCTCGAGTGGGATGTTGAGTTTGGTAAGCAGCGGGTTCATGATGGTGTCGAAGGCGCTGCGGTTGCCGTAGTATACGCCGGTTAGTTGGTTGGGGAGGAACATGCGCATGTTTAGCTCTGGGGGTTGGTCGTGGATGGTGAAGTTTTGGAGAACGGTCAGGATGTTGGCGAGTTGCGATGTGTTGGATGGGGAGAGGTTGTAGGCGAATACAAGGTTGCTTTCGGGAGCGTCAAACGTCTTGAACTTGAAGTCGGTGACGATGCCAAAGGCGGCGCCGGCACCTCGTAGGGCCCAGAAGAGGTCGGGATTGGAGGTTGGTGACGCGGTTACTACGCTGCTGTTGTGGAGGACGACAGTTACAGAGACGAGTTGGTCGAGCGTAAGGCCGTGCAGGCGAGAGGACATGCCGTAACCTCCGTGAAGAGTGAGACCGCTTACACCGACACTGAAAAGTGTTAGTACACATATGGTGTTGATGATAAGGATGAGGACCTACCCAGGACATGTTCCGTGGCTGATGGCTTGCTTGCCTTGGTCGTAAAGAGCCAGAGCAATGTTGCCCAGTCTACCACCAGCTCCTATGACAGCTGTGTGTGCTTCTTGGTCAACGGTGACACTGTTGAAGCGGCGCATGTCGACGATCAAGTGTCCATCTTCGCCTCCAAGACCATGTGATCCATAGCTGTGGCCTCCGCACTTCGGAGTGACTTGGACACCACTCTCAACTCCGCAGGATACGGCATCTTGGACTTGTTTGACTGTCTGTGGCACAACGTAGGAAGCCGGTTTGAATGGTAAACGAAGATTGAAGGGCTTGACTGCCTGAGTGTAGTTCTTGGTACCTGCAGCATATACAGGGACCTGGCGAGACTCAAGGCATTCGCTCAACGTAGCGTTTGCAGCGGTAGTGCAAGAAAAGAGAGCGGAGGCTGCAAACAGCCATGTGTAGTATTCTTTCATCATTCTGGAAGTCGGAAAGTGGCTTGGCTGCCCAGGAAAAATTCATCCGCTAACGTCCTCGCGATACTTATGGATTGCTTGAATCCTAGAGGTGGATTCTGATGATGAGATACATATTGACCCAATACACTACGGCTGAAGACCCAGAAAACATGTCTGACCAGGAGACATGACTGCGATGAAGGGATGAGAATGCCCAGAGTGGAAACCTTGCTCTTTCCTTGGATCCTTCGTCGGAATCGTGGGGATTCCAAGAGGATTTGGTACTGGTGATAACAGATCTTGCCTCCATCGCACGACAACTTCCAAGCTACGGCTATACCAAGAAGCGGTGGCTTCAGCTTGATTTACCTCTTGGCAAAGATTGGTCGCAGAAAGATTAAGAGATGCCACCTCGTCTATACCCACACACGTGTCCAGGTGCGCTGCAGCCGCATCCAAGTACCGACGTAGGGCAGCGGCGTGGCGGTTGCATTCCCGGTATAAGGCCTGGCCAAGAGATCTTAACATGCGCGTGCCCGAGATGAAAGACCGAAATGCAAGGCTACTGCAATTTCGCCATGTTGATCAACCTGGGGTCGGCAACCGGCTGAAACGTTGTACCCCTGCTCGAAACATGGCTGTAGATTGCTATATATTGTCCGACGTGCGGCCTTTAACCGGCTTGGACAATCGCATACTCACCGAGGCTGAAGTGGTACCCTCGCTTTCAGCAAAACGCATGATGGAGTCGGTTGTTTAGTCCAAGAGGGTGTAGTCAGGTGTTTCATCGTCGTAGCTCCGAAATGTCGAGTGCGGGCGCGTGACGCAAGGCGGTCTGGTGGAAATGTCAAAGAACACACGTCGAACATACAAAACGATGCTACTTCCCTGTGCTTTAAAGTCAGTAACAGATACATCCTGACTCGCCATCTTCAATCATCATGGTCCATTCGCATTCACTCCTTCTACCGCTGTTCGGCACTGCCGCAAGTGCAGCAAACTTGTGGGCGACGCACTACTCCGGCACCATCAACTACCTGTCGTTCAACAGCAACGCCTTGACCCTCAGTAGTTCGGCCTCGACTGGCAACAAGCTGCCTAGTTGGATCACGTATGACAGTGCTGGAAAGGCGCTCTATATTCCAGATGAGGTCTTCCAGGGCCAAGGAGGCGGAAACTTGGTATCCTTCTCCACGGGTGCGAACGGCAACGTGACTTCAATCGGAAAGGGTTCTACACCTCAGGGTGTGGTTGCGACAACGCTCTATGGTGGTCCGGATGGAAGAAGCTTCATCGCGAACGCCCACTAGTAAGTCAGCACCCTTGAGTAGACGAGATTATCGCTAACCAACGGAAGCCAAACTTCACAGTTGACGACCTTCAAGCTGCCATTGACTGGCGGACAGCCGCTCCAAACAATCAAGTACACTGGTAAAAGTGTCAACCCTTACCGACAAGAAGCTCCCCACCCGCATCATGCTTTTGTGGACCCGTCTGGCGACTTCCTGATCGTACCTGATCTCGGAACCGATAAGATCAGGATCAACAAGATCGACCAGACAACTGGCAATCTTACAGAGTGCGGTGCTGCTTTGCCGCCACCTGGAACAGGACCAAGACACGGCGCCTTCTGGGCACCGGCAGGAGCGAACTCGCGCGTTCGCCGGGCTGCAGACGGCACAGTACTGTTCATCGCCAACGAGCTCTCCAACAGCGTGTCGGCATGGGCGGTGTCATACCCCGCATCGGGAGGCTGCATGTCTCTGACCCTGAAGCAGACGCTCACACCGTACCAAGGCAATGCCACCGCCGTTTCCGGTACCAAGGTCGGTGAGATCAAGGTCAAGGGAAACTTCGTTTACACCAGCAACCGAAACGACAAGAAATTTAAGCCCAACGACTCAATCACCCAATTCAGCATCTCTCCTAACGGAAGCCTGACATGGACTGCCCTCACATCATCCTACGGCACATACCCGCGTACTTTCGACATCAACAAGGCCGGTGACTTCGTCGCTATTGGCGATCAAACCACTTCGAACGTGGCTATTGTACCAAGAGATCCGGCGACTGGCAAGTTGGGAGAGCGCGTTGCGGACCTTAGGATCGGGGCTGCCGGCATTCCGGAGAACGAGGACGGTCTCAGCGCGGTTGTCTGGGCTGAGTAGTCGTCCACTTGTCGCTCATTGAGACTTCTTGTATATACAATAACTTTCGTATAAATCATAGGGTTGCGCAGGCTGGTTGCGATTTCACAATGACGCGTTCGTCTGCGATGGAGATGTGAAGAGGCAAGAGCGCGTGAAGCTTGAGTGTTGCCAAGACGCTAACCCGGGTGCCATTTCCTCACGCGTCAAGACTCACACCCATGCCTCCTTGTGCATCCAAAACACGTCTTACTAGCTGCCCAACACGACTCTGTTATCAGCTTCATCACGAAGAAAATCAAATATCAGCAGTACCCACTCCCAACACCAGCCTTTAACCACATCACATCGAAAGTCCAGTCACATCTGCCGGCCATCAAAATGAAGACTGACAATTACCTTAACCTCTGCCTCGAGCAGGCCGCCAAGTCGCCTTTACGCTACCGCCATGGAGCCATCATTGTCCGTGGTGGCAAAGTCATTGGTCAGGGCTACAATGATCATCGCTCTGGCTTCGACGGTGGTGCCCTGAAGACCGGACGCCTTCCAATGCGCGCGACTAAGCGAGAGATAGGTGAGCCGAAGGGTCATGTAAATAAGACTTTTACACCCTTTGAAAGTATAGGCGGTGGAGGAAAACTCGCCAACACTCCGTTGTCTATGCACAGCGAGATGATGGCGATCCACTCCGCTCTCTCGGCTTCTAGCACGCTGGCTTCTAGTGCGGTGTCTTCCGAAAAACCGTGCTTTAAACTATCGGGTGATTCTAAACGAAAGTCACGACTACGAAGGGAAGCAATCAACTCATATGTCAAAGCCATCTGCGAGGCCGCACTGGCCCAGTCCACCGCGGCCTCTGGCAGTGTCCAGTCCGGTGTTCAAGAGTGGCGATTTGAATCCTCTGCATCTGGATCGCGCGAGACTGAACCTTGTGTTTCACGACCAGGAGAAGAACGAGAACGTGGCCTTATCGGAAGCGAACAGTACGGAGAAACACCGCCTGAAGAACGGGAAGAATCATCATCATCACAAGCTTGGCAACAAGTCCAACAATGGACAACACAAACACAGTGGTCGACGACATGCGCGTAAGCAGACCATTGCAGCTCCATGCTATAATCTACCTCCAACGTCGAGCGGCTCTGAAGCGTCTGCATCGCCGGAAGTGCCATCCGATAATCATGGTAAAGCAGAAAAGGTGCGTTGTCCAAGCTCTGTTATCACACATGCTGACTGTGATAGAATGGGATATTGAATCCTCCAACCGCCAGGAGTCAACCGATGTTAATGCCGAAAGGACAGACTGGACAGAGTTCTCGCAGTATCAAAGACAGGACCAAGAGCCCACGTTTGAACGGAGCCGATCTTTACGTAGTGAGATTGGGCTGGCAATCTGCGCCAAAAGTGTGCTGCAAAGAGCCTGACGAAGACCCCGCGACGCTACCTCCATCACGCCCTGTCACAGGTTCATTGCACGACGAGCTCACCAGTCCAGAGCCGGCGAGGCCAGCACGCACCAAGCACCCGCCGCCTCCAACAAAAGACCAGAAGAGACCGACCGTCCTGGCTTCCCGACCCTGCTACCGATGCATATCCTACATGGCATCTGTGGGCATCAAACGGGTTTTCTGGACCGATGACAAGGGAGGCTGGGAGGGCGCGAAGGTGCGTGATCTGGTTGATGCGCTTGACAACATGGGGTCGCAGTCGCCCGCTGATGCTTCGGTGGCACTCAACAGCGTCTTCGTCACAAAGCACGAGGTGCTGATGCTGCGCAGGATCATGGGTGACAGCTAAATCCGGATGCATGGTATACTATGATGACAAAATGCAGCATTAAGAGCCTCATGTGTAACCTTCAGTGCGTTTGTTCATGCAGTAAACATACCAATATTACCTCTAGCACTATGATCACGGTGAGAGAAGGACAAATAGACTTGCAGGTACTTTCCTAATAAGGCTATGCGGTGAGAGATTTCGCCACTGGGACCGTTTGCACGGGAGACGCCAGGGTGACTACATGCTGGTATCGTGCAGAGCCTCTCTCTATATAAAGCACACGTCTCCCCCACCAAGATTCCCACAACACAACACAACACAACACGACTCAGTACAGAACAATTTCAGCACGATGGTCCACCACATCCAGTTTGTCGATAGCTTTGCCGACCTTCCTTCCACTGCTCCAGCCAATCACCCCCACATCATCGATCTTACTACCTTCAAGGAGAACGACGGCGAGGTCATCACCGACATCAAGATCCAAGACGCCATCGTTACAACTCTTCATCAAGTCTCCAAGAAAACTCTCACCAAGTTCTTCCATCCTACCAAGGCCTTCCACATGGACTTTGAATCTAAGACCGATCGCTACTATAATCGTATCATTATCAAGAAGAAAGGCAACGAAGTTCTGGTAAGTGACAGTTGGGGAAAGCGTATAGAAATCCATGACACTAACGAAACTACTCATAGGTAGGCCAGTACGCCAAAGTTCAGGGTTGGCTGGAGTTCGATAATCTCCTCCGTTGCTCTATTGATGCGACCGGAGCCTGGAAGATCACCTACGCAGCCTACCGCGACTACTTCTCCGTCGAAATGATCGGCTTCTTCACCTGGGAGAATGTCTGGGCAGGAAACAGGGTCAATGTCGGTGGTCACTTGGCGGCTCTCCGCTTCGAGACTACTGAAGGCCAGCCGGACCGGGCAATGCTGGCCACGCAAGTTGCTGATCACCTGTTGTTGGGTCAGTACTGGGACTCTAAGCGCTGGACCAGGGAGTTCCATTGGGAGTAAGTCATACCGTGACCACTCAAGGGAGGAAGCGGAAAGGATTCTATGATGGACTTCTAAATAGTGCGAGCTTCTCCTGGCTCTTACATGACTCTAGAGTCTCATATGTCACTAATTTGCTTTGAAAGTCATCTTCATGATGTGTCTTCTTCTCCAAATCTCATCTACTGACCCAGTCCAAACTACGAAAGGAGATTTAATGAACGAGCACGATTACTTCGCCTCTAGACATGGGAACATATCTGCCTATTTTGCACGGCCTACTAATTTCCCAGTCCACGCGCCACACGTCAGATTTCTCTCCATGATTTAACAAAAGTAGAGTATCCTCGTTCACCTTGATTTGCGCGCACTGTCACCGCCGTTTGCTCTCCCCTTGTGGTCCAAGCTTTTGGTATGAAATCGAAACAACTTTGGACGAAGTCTTGCTCCCCACACAACACACATCAACCTCATAAGCCAAACACGATGGTACTTGCTATTAGCTGCGACCGCAATGGCGCCTGGCCCATCGACACCGAGTATCTTCCTGTGTGGTTCCTATGCGTCCATGAGCATTTGCCTGCGAACGCACCTTCCGACCATGCCCACGTTATCGATATGGCTCTCTACAAGCCTTCCCTGCCCTCTATAGGGGTACAGTGCGATGTCAAGATCCAAGACGCAGTCGCCACTCTGCTCTTCAACATCTCTAAGGCAACCTTGGATCAATTCCTTGACAGTCAGACTACATCGTTCAAGTTTCTCTGGTCATTCAAGAGGGAGCATGTCGAGAATCAGATGATCGTTTGGAGGCAGGGTGCTCAAGTTCTTGTAAGTGATCCTATCAAGATACATGAGTCTCAACATAATGCTTACTAGGTACTTGGATTCTAGGTCGGCCAGTTCGTAGAGTACCCCGAGGATGATGAATTGGAATGGGACAACCTTGTTCGCTGCCGTATCAACTATGACGGCTCTTGGGACCTTGCATCCGCCACGTTTGGTAGATACACTCGCCTTGGGCTTCACCACGCATGGGCAGAATCATTCCTCCCACGTTACACTCGAATGGGCATTGAGCATGACAAGAAGAAGGGGGAAGAGCAATCCGCACGGAACTTGGGTGATTACATCCTGAGCAACGAGTGCTGGATCCCCAAGGCGGAGTCCAAGTGGAACATTGAGATCAGCGTGGCCCGCTGATGCATCGTCATATTCATGAAGCCTGCTGTCTCATATACTGAGCATTGAGTTTCATTGATCTATGCATCAGTTTAAGGAAGAGGATATGAAAGACCGGTGATTCAAGCGAGCCCTTTCTTGCATGGAATACTAGGGTACCTAGGTAGTCGACATCCATGGATGAATCAGAGCTTTCCTTCAGGAACCTGTCAACAGCTCAAATGTGTATTGCGACAAGCTATGGTTAAGCAAGACTAGGCAGTGGCTTTGTTTCCAACATGCATAGTATCCGAAGTCGCCTTTCAATCGTGGTCGCTCTTTCATCTCGCCTGCCCTTTGTCAATACGCGAACGAGACCGTGCATGTTGGTTGTTTCTCCCCTGCACCACCATCACTTGCTCATGACATCCTTCTTACTTGCCCCTCATGACTACTAAAGCCATGTGCGATAATCGGTATGTCATCTCTTTCCTCACCGTCGCGCCTTCCATGAGCTCTCACCGACCTCGCCCGCTAGCGCTACTTGTGTGACCCGCATGGCAAACGCCTACGCGCTTCACGTAGAGCAGCATATTCCCCATCATCTTTCATCGCTCCTTCTTTGACTCCATGCTCACCACTCCTCTTTCATAGATCTCATCGCTCACCGGAAGCTAGCGCGCCCAACTGTTGTACCCATATATCTTGTACCATGCCGGTAACTACGAGATTCAGACGCTTGCAGCTACAACCTTCTGACATTGACACCGATCTCGAACAAGACACACGAGAGCACGCACAATCTTTCAACCGCACCGCTACAATGACTACTCATCGCGACAGCACTCCTATGGAGATCGACATCGAAAACAGCGGTCTTCCATCCCCGGCTGGCACCGACATCCGTCCCAGATCGCCGGGCAAGAGTGACTCTGGCAAGAGCGATGACAGCACGTCTTCATACACAGATGACTTCGAGACCTTGCCATCAAGCGGTCCGGCCAGCCATGCTCATATCCTCGATCTCGGCGAGTATGCTGCGTCTATGAAAGAAGATGGCGCGCTCAAGCTTCAAGATGCTGTTGTCACCGCTCTCTACAACGTCTCACCTGCCACTCTCAAATCATTCGTCAGCCCGACCGTCAACACCTTCAAGGCCGTGTTCGGCAAGAAGGACGTTCAGCTAGTCATCTGGCGTAAGGGTCTAGAGGTCTTCGTAAGTCATCACATACCCTCCAAGCAGACGATCGCTAACACCCGTCTAGATCGGCACCTTCGAGCATCATACGTCCATGAAGGCCTACCGTTTCGAGCACGTCGCCGGATTCCTCATCGGTTACGATGGATCTTGGCACCTGAAGGTTACTGCCAGCAACGCGTACTCCGCTCCAAAGTGGCCCGATGTATGGGCGGGCAAATTCGAGTGCCATGGCGGCGTTGCTAAGATGACCATCGAGACCGAAGAGATGGAGATGGCAAAGCGCGCCTCGGCATTGGCGACTGCAATGATCGGTGGCAGATATTGGGAGTTGAAGACGGATGTCAAGATGATTTGATGCGAAGCCGGCATCATCGGCCGAGATCAGTCGGAGTTGTTTGGAAGGATATAATATGGGATTCATTTGGCGCGTAATTCACGATTACCCCCGACCTGCAGGCCTTATGAGAAGGTAGCGAGCGACTGCGGTATTGCCACGACAGGTATTGTGATATGAAGGAGCTTCACTACTATATAGTCAGCTCGTGCCATCCTGAGCGGAAGATGAGATCTAATAAACAACTATACATGTACCAACAATCTTTCTTTGTGCTTGTAATCATGCCGTGAAGACCCTCCGAGCTGCCTTCACACCATACTGCCGTCTCCAAAGCGCTCTTCCACCGCCCTGCGAGAGCTTGATATTCCATATCTCCGCATAATAATTACCCCCCAGCCAACACCTTAATCACAAACCTCCTCTAATAGCTCACTCCTCCATCAAACCCACCCACTATCAGAGCCCATAGTCCAACGGTAAGACACCCACATCTCAAACCGCGCAGGGCTGCCATCGCATCGTCTCAGCGTGCGAACGAACAAGGCTGAGAAACCGTCCGAGCTTCCGCCAATTGATGTCGAATCCTCTTACAGTTCTCGAATCCAAATTCCGCCTCCGCCAAAGATGACCGATAGCACACAGCCTTGCCGAGATTGTGGGGGATCCGCGTTCAAGTCGCGGTGGGCTCATTCCTTTTTGCTAGATCCTTGTGTCGAGCGCTGTATTTTTACCGTCCTTTTTGCTGTCATGGAGGGATAGATAGGAGCGGTGGCGTGGCGGGCGAGTGAGTTCGTCGACGGGAGTGTCCTACTTAGCGTCCAATTTTACCAAAACCATCAAAGAGTGGATAGCAATGAGATTCATTGTATCCAAAAACAGTACCTAAAAATAACATGCAAAGTCGCGAGCGTATCCAATCCGCTCAAACGATCAGTGTGGTGTATCCAACAACGTGTCTATGCCAAACTCTACTCATGAACGCCGGTCGTCTAATGCATGCCGATGCGAATAAGCAAGCTCAATGCGTGTAATCAACGAATCACCAACTCCCAGGTCCAAAGGTCTCGCCTTTGGGTACCTCCTTGTACGGGCAGGCTTGCCAGTCACAACCCTATGAATACTGTTAGCTTTTGTATCCAATGAAGGCCAGCTTGTATGTGGCTGACTTACCTGTTTATAAACCTCCGTACCCCACCACTTGAAGTTACTCATCCAGCCGGGGTACACAATGCCAAAGAAAATGACCACAACACCAAATGCAAGACCCGAGTCAAGAGCCGCGCTAAGCATCATGTTGTACTTCTTCCACCACGCGTTCCTCCGGTTGCGAATCTCGTAGTTGAAAATGTAGCACACAATTGCCCAAACGGAGAAGTTGAGTCCGGTGGCCGGTGGGATCCAGCTCAAGCTGCCGAACACGACGGCGAGGTTGACTTTACTGAGTATGGACTTGCGGCTGCCACGGGCGAGGTACCAGAGTATGACGGGTGCGATGGCGCCGATGGGGAAGGCCCAGATCAAGTGTTGGTAGAGTGCGCCGGGGCCGAAGAACTTCCCTGGTCCGACGACACCCCAGAGGATACTTCCGTTGAAGTGAACGCGGGCGATGGGGCAGTTGAAGCCGTTGATGGCTGAGGGTGTGCAGATACCAGGGATGTTGTTTAGCATCCAGTTTAGCACGCCGATCTGTGTTAGACTGGAGATGATGGTGACGGAGAGTTGGAGCTTGAAGAGGATTCTAGGTGGGATCTTCATGTAGTGGCCGAGCTTGAGATCAGAAGCAAACTTTAGGCCTTGGGTCGCTGAGATGTAACCGAAGGTCGTAAAGACCATGTTTGCGACGGGTCGACCGGGAAACACAACACCGCAGATTAGTTGACAGATGAGGTAGATGCTGCTTTGTTGGTTTGTGATAGCCATGACGATGCCGATGGGAACGAAAAGGACTGCGCCGATGCCGAGTGCTAGCAAGAGACCGTACCAGGGTAGATGGACAGGGTAGTACTCGACGACGAACATGCCGACCGCGGCCATACTGATGCCAGTCAAAAGGTACCAGGTTATCGGCACATCCTCGTATTTGCGCATGAGTCGATTGTGCACATCTTCTGCAGATAGCAAGTCTTCCACATCTGGGTCTGATGTCGTGCTGGGCCTGTGTCGCAACATTGCAGGCGAGGATGGGTGGCTGTTATTGTCGGTGCCATTCACAAGTGGCTGGTAGTCAGCTGCTGATTCTTTCCGGATCTCGGCCCAAGAGCGACGCCATTGCCTCCAGATATCCTTCCCGTACCAAAGGCCAGTGTGCGAAAGCAGAGCTGTAAGACCGGCGAACTGTAAGGCGTAGCTCAATACGTAAGTAATCGGGAGGTAGACGCGGCTGTATTGCTTGTACGCTTCCTCGTCAAAGAGGAAGTTCTCGGTCAAGATCTTGCTGACGTCGTACGGTTTGCCGCGATTATCCCATACGGCGGATGATAGGATGGGCATGTAGGAAGAGTAGAGGACGTTCTTGTAGTCTGGATTTTGTCAGCACTAGTATTTCAACCTCGTGTAACTACTTACACATGATCGGCGCTGCGATCCACATGACGCCTACAAGGCCTCCAAGGATATTCATAGCAGCCCAGAATGGTGTAATCAACGGGGAGCCGATATATGCGATTTGCGCCCAATCGAAAGTCACCGGAAACAATCCAAGACCAGATGAGATTCCGAACTGCTCAGGTTAGCTCTCTGTCTTTTCAGACAAGCAACAGACGTACCAGGTTGGCAACAACGACGCTCTTTGGCGCGAACCAAGTAATGACATTGAAGTAACTCAATGCTGGGAATAGGAGACCAGGTAGGAAGTAGAATGCAACGGATCCCATGAATATGCGCGAGAAGAACTTGCGCGGAGCGATGGTCCAGCCATCGGCAGGCTTGTTCTCATCTTTATGTAACGCGGTGAACATGGCGGTTGATACCAATGTGCTCGGCCAAATCATGCCGCTGGGACGGACCAGATAACGTCTGGTGATACCGGCAAGGGAGTAGCCAAGTATTTGTGTGGAGAGGATAAGTAATACTTGGTACATGATGCCAAGGTCTTGCTTGTAGAACTTTACTTGCTCAACGATGACCTTGGATTGTCAGCATACCATACTTGGCTGCATAGATGATACTTACATCTGTCGCGAAGGCAAAGCCGAAGGATACATTGCTGCTGACGTACACGCAGCAGTGTTCCTTTTCATTCCAACGGCCTTGGCCTAGCCAGAGCCGTAGCCGGCGTTTCCAAGTGGCTTTCGCCTGTGGAGGATGCGATGTTGTTTGAGAGCAACCATCGACAAAGGTTTCTTCAGGATCGTCGTGTCGTTTGAAGAGTTGGTCCCAGAGCAGACCGAGGGGGTGGACGAGTAGTAGTGCAATAATAGGAGTAAGGCTGACGCTAGGGTATCGTAGGGAAAAGAACAAGTTGGTTGAAGAACCGGCAATGGAAAACAGAATCGATAGGAACCA